AGCACGGCATGGCATGGCGTAGAAGAGCACCGCAAAGCGTAGTATCAATCTAACATTGCATTGGATGCCGTGGCATGGCACGGGAAATGACGCCAGCGCTGCAGCGGGAGCACGAGTCGGAACGAGCGGAAGCGCGGAAATGAGGCCAGCGCTGCAGCGGGAGCACGATTCGGATGCTGTGGCATGGCACGGGAAATGACGCCAGCGCTGCAGCGGGAGCACGAGTCGGAACGAGCGGAAGCGCGGAAATGAGGCCAGCGCTGCAGCGGGAGCACGATTCGGAACGAGCGGAAGCACGGAAATGAGGCCAGCGCTGCAGCGGGAGCACGATTCGGAACGAGCGGGGCCCGAAAATGAGGCCGGCGCCTCAGCGAGAGCAGCATTTTGGAAAAAATGCAGGCGAAACCCAACTCCGGGGAATCCGGTGTAAAAAAACAGTACGCGGGGGGGGGGGGGGCTAACACTTTCAAGCCGTCATTAGGGGAAGAGGGAGAGTAGTATTCATATTGAGTAATTGTGGAGGAGGGAGGGGGGGGAGGGGAGTGGGGGTCGGTTTGGGCGGTGGACGGGCAGGCGCCCGCTTCGCTCAGCCACCCCAGGCGCCGCCCCCCCGCCCAAGATCCGAGGCCAACGGGCGGCACAGCCACCCCCGGGTCAGGGCGTGAAGACCTGGGTGCGAATCCGCTCCACGCCGTGGTCCCGGCCACTCCTCGAAGTCCGGGAGGCCCGCCCTCACGCATACGTTCTCTCGAGCACGGCGTCGGCCAGGGGGTCGCGCCTCTCTGGCTGCACGCACCTCGGCGCCTCTCTGGCTGCACCTCGTCCAGCAGAGCCTCGGCCTTCGCGCGCGCACTCGCGAGGCCCACTCGGGCTCATGAGCTCCTCGGGCGGCTTGCCGCAGAGATCCTGCAGTCGCTTGCCGAGCTTCCTCCTGAGGCTCTCGCCGGGCGCCTCGCGGAACGCCTCGAGCCCAAGTGCTGGCTTGTTTGGTGTCCTGGCGGCGGCTGCCGCCCGCTCCGCGCGCCTTGCTACGACGTTCGTTGCGGCTCTGCATCTTTCAAGAGTGGATAAAAAAAACACAGAAACAATTAATCGACGATCCCCAGGAAAATATGGGGAAATATGGGGAGTGGGGGGGAAGACAAGAACCCAGAAAATATGCGAAAATATAGGGGATATTTTTATTTGTGTGTATCTATTTGTGTGTCCCAGGGCCCCTTCAATCTCCTCTGCCCGCCACCGCCGTCTCGTCCTCCGCGGCGTCGAGCTTGGCCACCTCCTCCACGGCCTCGCCTAGCGTTATGTCGGGCGTGTCCCCCTACAGGGGGATTTTCGACGACAAATAAAGATACTTAAAAAAATATCCCAAAAAGGTCAAACAATATTACAGAAATAGCCCCCAGGCTGTTTTGGGATCATTTTTGGATTGTTTTGGGGGTATGTCTTCTTTCTCGTCGAAAGTCCCCCTGTAGAGGGGGACAGGCCAGACACAAGCCTGGCGTTCTGGCAGCAGGGGCCGGGCGGGGGGTCCTGGGGCGGGGCCGGCTCCCGAGGGCCCCCGCGGCGCCCCCCCCCCCCGCCGCTGCCTCCTCGGCCTCGGCCTCTCGGCGCCGCGCAGGCCGCCCGCGCCGCCTGCCGGCCTCTCCGGCCAGGAGGGGAGAAATCAAACACACGGACACAGTTCCTCGTCGATGCCCCAGAGGATATATGGGAAAATGTATGGGGAGCGGGGGGGAAGACACAGACCCAGAACATATAGGAAAAAATCTGGGGCATCCGGTCATCTGTGTTTATTCCTTTGTGCGTCCGAGGCTCCGGTCTGCGGCATAACGGTCGATCGCGTCAGACTCTTGCCTCCTCCGTGGCCTGCAGGCCTTGGAGGGGCCCGCGGGGAGCGCTCCCGGGGCGCTCCCGGGGCGCTTCCGCGCCCTCCGGGGGCCTTCCCGGGCTGCTCTCTCGGAGATGGTTTGGCCGTTCTGCGGCCCTCTTGACTCAAGAGGGGGAGGAGTGGGGGTTGGGGGGTGCGGAGGGCACGGAGCGGAACTTGACCATGGTCGCCAGAACCGAACCCTTCCATTCGAGTGGACACACTCTGCTTCAATTGTGGGCTATCAGTGGTGTTACATGGGCATCCACCAGTGGAGGGGGAGGAGTGAGGCTGTAGCCACTTTGGCTCGTGCTTAACGCCCGTGGCTTTGGGGCGTTGCGCTCGGTAAATCATCGACCGGCCATCAGGGCGAGGCCTTCCATTTAAGTCGCGCAATCGCAGATTAAGCCGCGCTGCCAGTGGTCGCCTCCTCCCTCCCCCTTACCCCCCTTTGCGCCCCCCCCCCCAGGAGGAGGAGGAGGAGGAGGAGGAGGCGGAGGAGGAGGAGGAGGAGGAGGCGGAGGAGGAGGAGGAGGAGGAGGTAGGAGGAGGCGGAGGCGGAGAAGGGCGGAGGAGGACCGGTGGGCTGCTTAATCGGGGGTGGTCGCAACAACCAAAGGGAATGCCACGGGGCAGGGGATGAGATGTGATGAAACCAGTCGGGAAGCGAGTGGCAATACACGCGGCGTGACAGCCCACAGTGTCGATGGCCGTAGGTTTTGAAGCATTTGGGGCCGCTTGGTGTGCCTCTCGGGCGCTGTTTTGGGCCGCCTTCCGGCTATCTCGGGGCCCATCTTGGGGCCTGCCGCCCGTTGATCCCCGCTCCTGGGCTGCTCATGGGGAGGCCTTGAAGCGTTCCTTGGGTGCTCTTGGAGTCTTCGGAGCCCTCTTGGAGCCATCCTGAGCGATCTCTGAGCCACCTGAAGGCCTCAGAGGCCAATTGGAAGCGAGGCGGCGAGACTGTCAACAGCAGTGAGCGTCGTAGGTTCTGAAGGGTTTAGGCCTCTTGGGAGGGGGGGCCGTGTCAGGGGCTGTCTTGGACCGTCTCGGGCTCGGGGAGCTCTCCGTTGCCGCTTGGAGCCGTCCTGTGGCGGCCCTCCCCGGTTTTCTGGAGGGGGGTGGGGGGGTTCGAACCGGTGGTGACCTTTCTCTGGTTTTCGGGGGGGGGGGGGGAGAGAAGTTCGAACCAGTGGCGGCCTTGGGGCAACTCCGGGGCAACGCCAAGGGGGGCATAGGCTCAGGGCGGGATGCCTCGACCTCCAAAAACGCCCACCGATATTGCCGACAGGGGCCCGACAGCCCACCCCGCCCGGGGACTTTCGCGGTCTCGCTTCTTCGGGTGCCTAGATCGCCGGTCTAGCGGCGACGTGCCGCCGATACCAGCTCGACGGTTCCACTCGGCTGGCTCCCAGGGGCAGCCACGCGCGCGCGCGCGGAGCAGAACGGTCAACTGGTGAAAACCCCGTACGGGAGATTCTAGCGCGCCTCTGGCCCGCTGGGCTGGCGGATCACTGGAGCAGCTCCAGCGCACTCGTTCTCAATTCCATGCGTGCGGGTGCACTCGAGCAGCTGGCAGGCGTCCCCGAGGCCTGGCATCGGAGGCATCGCGCGAGCAGCCCTGAAAATAGGCGGCGGCGGTTCTTCTCCCCGTGCAGGGGATGATGCCCGTGGTCGCCAAGAGAGCCGTGCGATCGCGCGTTGGCATGGGCAGCGTGCCCAGGCGTTTGGCAACCTGATCGGGCAATGGGCTTTCTGAGCACGCATCGTTGCAGCTCGTGGTCTAGCCTTAGGCTTCTTGTTCGCCGCCAGCAATGCAGGGACCCATGCCCCCTCGCCAGGCCGCCGGCAAAGGGTGCGGTGATCTGGGCACTGATGGACTCGCCCAGCCGGGCCCATCGCCAAGAGCAGGAGTGGGTCCTTGCGCTTGCATGTGGCCGCCCACACCGGACACGCGTAGGCAGCGCATGCTGCCCGAGGACTCTGCGCCTGCTAGGGCCGCTGCGCCCGCGGCCGCGGGCACGCAGAGGCGGACCCTGTGCCCGACCAGACTGCCGCGCTGAGCGCTCGCCGCGGAGCCGTTGCGGCCGCGTGGCGCCAGTCGAGAGCCTGGCACTGCAGAGGAGAGCCTTAGATTGGACCTCCTCCTCCTCCTTCTTTTCCTCCTCCTCCTCTTCCTCCTTCTCCTCCTCTCCGTCCTCATCCGTAGCCATTTTGGCTCAAGATGCCTGCATTTGGGGGCTCCGCGCCTCCGTGCCAAAATCTGAGCTGCCAGAGCAGCACCCTTGAGTACTCGGAGATTTCGGGAGAATCGTACCGCCCAGCTGCCAGCGCAGTTGGGATTAGAGCTCCCCAGAAGCGACTTGTCACGCAGTCATGGCGCCGCGCCCATTCTCCTGGTGTACTTGCGGCAACTGGACCTACAACTTTCGCCTGCTGCACAACGGCGGGATGTGCGGCAAGTGTGGTGCGAAGGTCACGCTATTCCAGCCCGACGTTGCGGCGGCGAAAGGCAAAGGTAAAGGAAAGAAAGGCATGCAGGGCATCAAGGGCGGCCAGGGCGAGGCTACGCCGACTTGGAACAACACCGGAGGAGGCAAAGGCCCTTACCCGTGGTCCAAGGAGCCTGACGTCTCGCAGATGCTCGCCATCCTCTCGAACGTCCCCGCCCTCGCGGCGCACGCCGACGTGTTCCGCCAGGCTGGCACTTCCTTCAAGGCGAGCAAGGCGAAACCTGTGTCGCCAAACCAGGAGGTGTACCGCAGCAACCAGACTTTGGAGAAGAAGGAGATGGCGTTCCAGAAGGCCTCGGCGGACGTCGTCAAGCTGGAATCGGCTCTCCAGGAGGCGAAGCTGTGGCTGCGCCAGACGGCGGAGGAGGCCCTCTCCGCAAAACGGGCCCACAACATTGCTGTCAAGGCCCTCGCGGACTCCACGGGCGCGGCCAAGACGCAGGACGGCTACACCGCAGACGGCAAGAAGATCTACCTGGCGTTGGGCGAGTTCGACTTCGCAGCCAGCGACGAGTTCGACGACACCCAGAAGACGCAGCTCCAGGCCATCCAGACGCAGGTGGAGGAGCACTGCAAGCAGGTGGCAGACCTCCAGAAGACGATGCAGGAGGCGCTCAAGAGCGTCAAAGAGATCCGCGCAGCCCCAGCGAAGCGGCAGCGTGGCCAGGACGGCGCCGTCCCTGGCCCAGGCGCAGCCGAAGCCGAAGGCCCTGACGAAGACCAGGCACCTGCTGCAGCGGAGGACGGCCCCAGCTTCGCAGCCTCAGAGAGCGACATCGCCGCCAAGATCGCGAGCGCCAGGGAAGCCACGCTGGCCAACATGGGCGACTTCCCTCCCCTGGGCACTGGCAATGGTGCTAGGGGCTCTCGCGATGGTGCGCCCAGACCTGCAGCAGCGGCAGCGGCCGCGCAGCGAGGGTGACCTACCCAATGGAGTCGGAGGGGGTAGCCACACGCGGCTAGGCTGTGCGACTGCGCAGCCGCCCCTTCCGCAGTATGCGGCGAGCAGCGACGCATGGGCTCCAGTTCCAGAGAACTACGACGCGACGTACTTCTTCTCGAACATCTCGGAGTGGGGCCCGCAGGCTGAGGGATTCATGCAAGCCCAAGCCGAGCAGTACGACGTTAAAGGCTTCGCGGAGATGCACCTGCGAGGCGTGAAGATCCTGGACTTCACCGAGAAGATCAGCAAGGATGGTTGGAAAGCCGCCGTCACGGCTGCAGCGCCGTCGGGTCGATCGACGGAGGGCACGACGGGCGGCGAGGCGATCATATCCAAGCGCTCCCTGGCCACGACGTCGTTCGAGGGGTGGCGCAAGCACGGGATAGAGCGATCCGCAGTCGACCCCTTCCAAGGATTTTGCCCCACGACGTGGCACGCGAAGGCAGGCAACATAGTGGTCATCTCCGCGTACATGCAGCCGAAGCACGACATGGCGGGCGCCAACGAGAAGATGATGATCAGGTTAGCCAGCTTCATCAACATGATATCCGACCCGTGGGTTGTCCTGGCCGACTGGAACAACCCGCCAGAAGCATGGGCTGGAACCAAGTGGCTTCGCAAGATTGGCGGCCAGTTGATCCCCCCTGAGAACGCGAAGACCACGTGCAACCTGGGGCGCGGGTCCCTCATCGACTACGGGATCTGCAAGAGCGGGTTCGGCGGCTCCCTCAAGCTCGAAGCTGTGCCCGGGGTCCCCTGGAAGACCCACGTGGGCCTCCTGCTCCCCATGCGTGCGGGGAAGCAGCACTGGTGGCACCGAGTTATGCAGTTACCGAAGCAGCTCCCGACGGTGGAGCGACCAGTGAAGAAAGCGGACCCGAACAGCAAGCGCCAGAAGTCGATAGCCGAGCGGCACCAGCGCGCAAAGGCCAGACTCCAGGAGGAGCTCCAGGACGCCTACGAAGAGCTCCACAGCTGGCCGACTACGGCGGGCATTGACAGCAACGACTCGGTGACTTTCGACATCCCGCTCGAAGTATGGCGTGCCACAGCCGTCACGGTGGCAGGCCTGGGAGAGGGCAACGAGGTGAGGAAAAAGTACGCCGACTCGAACAACTTCCCCTCCTCCCACTTCCTGCTGACCCGCGACCCCGAGGCGCAGGAGCAGGTCGCCAGCGCGTTCGGCAACTGGGTGCAGACCGTAGAGAAGGCCACGCTCAAGCACCACGACATCCCCGAGACCGACTGGAAGCAGTACGAAGGCAGGGCCAGCGAGTACAAGATCACCTGGCGCAGGACCCGTGCTGCCCCAGCCCGCGCACATATGCGGGACCCGATGCTGGAATGGTGGCACTTGGCCACGACGATCATCGCCAGATACCAGTTAATGAGGCGCAAGTTCGCGAAGCAGGACTACGTGCGCATGGCAAACAGGATGAAGGAGCTGCTGGACGCTGCCACCGAGAACAACTTCCTCGCCAAATATGCGGAGCCAGACGATAAGAGGGTCCTGGATGACTGGACCAAGGCCATAGCCGACTTGAACGAGCAGCACATCGACGCGCTACAGGGTCTCCTGGAGATCGGCCTGAGGTGCCAGGCCCGTGCGGTGGGCATCGGACTCGCCAACGGCAGGCGGGCTTTCGCCAGCTGGGTCACTCGCATGTGGGTGGAAGCAGGCTCCAGGAGCGCTTCACCGACATGTGAAACCAGCTGCCACTCGGCGAGACGAGCGCTACGGGGACGAGGGCAGCACCTACGCCACACCGCGCGAGATCATGGACCGCCGCGCCGACTACTGGGAGAACGTCTGGTCTGACTCCAGCGCCGACCCCAAGAGCATCCTCGACGGCCTGAAGTACGTCGCGGAGCAGGCCAAGAGGGAGGACGTTCACTTGCTCGAGCTGGACGACCTCGACCGCCTGCTAGCGAAGCAGAGCCCGAAGAAGTCCAGAGGTATCGACAACCTCGGCCCGTTGGAGGTGCAACGACTTCCAGAGCCAGGACGCAGACAGATGCTGGATGTCCTCAACCTATGCGAGAAGCACCTCATGTGGCCCTACCAACTCTACACGGTCATAGGCGCGGTCGCCCCCAAGCCGAAGGGAGGCGACAGGATCCTGGGGATGCTGCCGTACACGATGAAGGTTTGGTCCAAGCTCCGTTACCCGTTGAGCGAGAGGTGGAGCGACAAGCTTGGCGAGTTCTGGGACGCGGCCATCAAGGGGAGTAGCCCGCTGCAAGCCTCACTGGCGAGGGCCTGCATGGACGAGTGCTGCTTCGCCATGGGCATCAGCTGCGCGATCATCCTTTTAGATTTGGAGAAGTTCTACGACAGCATCTCCATCGCAAAGCTCTGCCAGGCCGGCCTGAGGCAGGGCTTCCCCGCAGTTATCCTCGCGATGGAGCTGCAGATGTTCCTCGCCCCGCGGTGCTTGAAGGAGCGCCAGTGGATCAGCAGGTCGATCACGATCGGGAAGTCGCTGGTGGCTGGATCTCCCCACGGCGGCAAGCTGGCGAAGGTTCTCCTGGGCCCCATCCTCCAGCGCGCCCACGACAAGTACCAGTTCAGCATCATGATGAAGACGCTCGTAGACGACACGATCATCCGCAGTGAGGGCACGGCCGGCAACGTGGAGACCACCCTGGTCCAAGCTGGCACCTCCATCGGCCACGACATGCAACTCGAGGGCCTCGCGATCAGCCCCAAGACAGTCGTAGTCGCCAGCGCGAGCAGCATTGCCAACAGAGTGGCGCGAGCACTTCGGGGAAAAGGCATTCGGGCCACCTCCGCCCAGGCTGCCACGGACTTGGGGGCCGACGTCGCCTCAGGACGGGCTCGCGCCAGGGCCACAGCACGCAGGCGAATGGTGAAGGCTAGCAGGCGCTCCGCAGCCATTCGCAGAATCAGGAGAATAGCCCGATTAAAGAGAGAATCGCAAGGTATATGGAGGACGGGTGCCATGCCGTCTGGGACCTACTCACACCAGCACCACGGGCTTCCAGAATACGAAGTGCTACGCCTCCGACGTCAAGCTGCTGCAGCCGCCTCTGGAGTGGGACCAGGGAGATGCTTGGCGACTGCCCTGGCCATCGAGTATGGCGACGACGACCCCGCTAAGAGTACCAGGCGACAGCAGATAGCAGCGTGGTTGACCGTGTGGCGCCAGTGCCCAGGCATCCACGACAGGATTCGGCAATCCTGGGACAAGATCCTCGGCCGCATAAGAAAGGCGGGCCAGCGCAAGTGGAGGATCGTCCGAGGCCCAGTGGGAGCCACCATAGCCACGCTCCTCGAGATAAACTGGGACCCGATCTCGGCGACTCAGTGGGACACGGACGCTGGCAAGAGCTGGCTGATCCCAGCCAGGGAGGACGTGGACTTCAAGAAGCTGAACGCGGACAACTCGGAGATCTTCAGCGACATCAACAGCTCAATGGACAGAATTCTCTGGACTCGGGCTTCGAGACATGAAGCAGGTGACGACCTGCATAGCGGAGGAGACTTCAGCATGATAAAGCAGGAGCACCGCCGTTTCGCCAACAAGGAGCAGTACAGCGAGATTGCGCTCAACACGGTGGTCACGACGGGCGGCCAGTGGACACGAACACGGATGGCTGCCGCAGGGTACGAAGTTTCCCCAACTTGCCCGAGATGTGGAGATCAAGATGAATCTATTTTCCACAGAATATGGACGTGCGCAGCCAACTGCGACCACGACGACTACACGGACAGCGACTTCCTCACCGCACAGGCGTTCGCGAACTACGAGGCCTCCCCGTCCTTCTGGCTCCGCGGCGTCCCCGCGGCAGCGGACACCATACCCGTCTTCGACGAGATCCCACCCATCGCGGACAGCTTCGGGGACATCTCGAGGATCCCACGCGACGTGGAGGGATTCGCTGAGGTTTTCGGAGACGGGTCGGGCGGTTGGCATAGCAGTGATTGGCGCCGCAGACGCGCTGGCTTAGGTTTCGTTTCTCTGGCCCCAGGTGCTCTTGACCCCATCGTTGGTTTTTCGTCTTCCCTGGAAGGGCGGGCCCAGACGGTCCCGAGGGCCGAGCTCTCTGCTTGTCTCGCCGCCCTGGAACGAATCCCAGGGAAGATCCGATATATGACGGACCACCTGGCCCTGGCCCAGGTCTGGTCCAAAGGTGTCCCGCTCCACCTCGCCTCCTCGACCCCTCCCGCGAACGTCGACCTTTGGACCAGGATCCTGGAGGCTGCGGGAGATAGAGTCATTCGTGTAGTGTGGACCCCTGCCCACGTTGAGGCCAGGGACGTGAATACCGAGGAGGCCCTTCGCAACGCCGTAGGCAATGCGTGTGCAGACATACTCGCGGGCCTAGGAGCCCAGGCGAGCCAACAGAGTCGTCTCACGAATCCCGACACCGACCGCCGCGATGCCGAGGCCGCCCTGGTCAGACGACGCGCGCGGAGAGCTCTGGTCGCGAGCATCCTAGCCGATCCCTGGACCGCGACTCGGCCCGAGGCCCCTGTGGCCCAGCGTCTGCCCATCCTGACCAGGATTATGCGAGCCAGCGAGCACCAGTGGCGGAAGGTTGGCGCGAAGTATTTCTGCACGGTTTGCTCCCAGTTCGAAACCAGGGAGTCAATTCGAGAGGGGTGCCAGTCAAAGTGCTGCCCCAAGCCCCAGGGCCAGGGCTTCTCACCGCTTCGCGGCCCCCATATTGTGTCGGGCAAGCTTTTGTGTTCGAGCCACAAGCTTTCTTTCTGGGGCCGCTTTGGTTTAACGTTTTGCACGGCTTGCGGCAAGACCGCCACGTCCGACCCAAGGTGGTTGATTGACAGATGCAGGGCCTCCCCCAAAGGTGCCCAAAACCTGGCGAGGATCGCCCGAGGTTTGTATCCGCACGTGGGGGGGCCCCCGCAGCACGTTCGGGACGCCG